CACAATAATGATGCGATTAGACTGCAGACACTCGGTCACATCGTATTTTATCAGATTTCCCGTCATTGATGTGAGATTTGCGTCATAATTCTGCACCAGAAAACAGCAGACGTGATTAATCTGGACGTAAACAATGGCTTCAGTTCACGCTCCACCAAACATTGTTTCCACTAGTTTTGCTTTCTGATGGCTTTGTCTCATTTTTTCCTCAGTGAAATTTCTGTTCAGCTTGTTGTTTTATTTTCCTGCCATCCTCAGTTTGCCTCATGCCGCTTCAGATTGTCATCATTTCCAGTATTTTTGTAGAATCTCTGTTTCGTAAAGACGCTCAGCTCGTCTGCGACACACATTTCATTTTCCACCTGCTGAAACCCCAGTAATCCCAGCTGATGTTTTATGGGTCTTCATTCCCCCAGTTTGTTGCTTTTAACCCGACCGTCTCCCCTTCCGTAGGAGAGGCTGCTGTGGCTGATAGACATGATGGAGGTAGGATCTGCAGCTGAACATGATGAATGGCCTCCATCGCTAATGCACAACAAACAGAACGACACAATTTAACGTCCCTGAGGCGAATCAGAAACACCAACACACTCATTTCCATCTCACTTTGTGCTTTTGCAGTGACTTTGTTTGCTGTGTTTTTGCTCTTACAAACTCACAATATACAGTAAATTAAAGGTTATGAATAGAAATAGATAAGAAAATCTAAGGCCAGCATGCAAAGTAATGTTTCCAGCCTTTTTTAGGGTTTTTATCCTACAATGTTTTATTAAATAATAATTACAAAAGTAATCAAATTACGAGTTGTATCACCATTAGTGAAACTATAAGAAGAAATCACAAAAACAAGAGAATAAAGTGATAATAGAAGGAAAAATAATACGAGAATAAACACAAAAATAGCCATAATTATGAGAATAAACTTGTAATAATACAAGAATAAAGTTGTGACAAAATGTCAGTATTCTTAGAATAAAGTCGAAAGAGAGTATTAGTTCTGAGACAGTATAAAGTCATAATGACAACAGAATAAAGTCTGGCTTCACATCGTCCGTGTGAATCAGTTCTGGGTTTTTAGGAGACATTATTTGTTTCTTTTCGCTCCATTTCTTCAGGGTTTCATTAATCATTTTCTGTCTCTGCCAAATCCAGCCAGTCGTTTTTATACCAAGGAGCAAAATATGACAGCAGTCATTACCTGAGGTCCATTCCGTCGCTGCGTTGATGCCACCAACCAAATGACCTTCATACATCTCACATGCAGCCGGCGCAGAGAAACACGTTTCCGTTTTCTGAGTCGCTCCAACAGGCTTTCTGCTTTCATCCTAATTTTATTCACAGTTTATAAAAGTTGCACCAACTGGAAAGCTTGAGTTTCTGACAGAGCTGACGTAAAACAAATGGATCACCCTCACAGAGCGTTTAATCATTCATACCTTTCAACCTTCACACCCTTTAAATAGGTCAGTTTGATAATAATTCACCTGCTGCCTCACGTCTGAGGAATACAAAATTATGGGATGCCTTACATAAAAAGCATCATTCAGAGCAGAATCTGGATATGTTCAAGACTTTGGTAACTTCCTGCGACTCCCAGACGATTTTATTTACATGAATGATGGCAGCCTAACGTCGCCTACTGTCGACGTAGGAGACGTTTAAAATGTTTAAGTTTCACAGGCAGCAGCAGAAATTCCTGGTTGTTGATAAACCCAAAACAAGACAATAAAATAAATAGAGGAGCAAAATAAATACATAAATTGACTCTGTTTTTTTATGGCCAACGCAATATTTTGTCAGTGCAGATACTTTTGTAGAGTTATGTACACATTATTCATCTTATTATTATTAATAGTAGTAGTTGTAGTAATGCTGTTTTCAGCTATGTTCTTACATTTAAATATTTCCCTGAGATTTTGCAGCTCTAGAAACAGAGCATTTGGATTTGTGCTGCTTCTAAAACCAGTCAGGTGTTTTTTGGTGTCTGGAAAACGAGCCGTTTCAAAAACCTTCAACGGTTACCTAGCAACCCAAACATCGAAGAGGTTTGCTCAGCTGGTTTTGCTGCTGTATGTAAGTGTAAATGTTTTGTTGTTGCCTTATCATCCAGAAACCCCATGCTGCATTACTGTTGGTTGTGCAGGAGGCTCCACTTCTGCTTTTCTAAGTTGTACGGTTGTATAAGCAGAATGTTTTTGTGCAAAAACTGTCATGAACATGATTTGTTTTGCCCACAGATGTATCCTAACCTGTTTAAGGAGGCACAATAGGTCAGCTTTAGTAAATCAGACGCTTGTTTTAATAATCAATCATAAATAATTTGTGGAACAAATCTTACTGGGCTGTTAACTGGAAAAGAAAGATCCTTTAAGAGAAGAGGGGTTCACAAGCATCTGCATTCATGGTCACAATCAGTTCATGGTTTTTGGGGTTCAGTTGAGTAATTATTCAGTTTTTCTACATGTTGTGACACAGATGAAGAAGTAAAATGTTAATGCACCAAATTAATTTTAGAGTTAACGGTTTGAATTCATAACCTGCAGTGATGTTGTGTTTCAGGCAGCCGAGACGTGAGAATGCTAATTTCTCTCTTGACTCGAAAGATATCTGTGAACATTTCTGCAATATTGTTGTTCCATGATTAAATATTACTTTTTAGACTTTGTGGAAACCTGCCTTTTGTTGTTTTTATAGAAAACCTCTGAATATTCAGATGAAAGTGTTTATTCTGCCCGACGACAGTTTCTCTGCTTTTTAAACATCAGCTTTCTGTTTGCTAATGTTTTCATGCACGTTTTCTATTTATTCTGGCTCTTATTTGTTGGAAAGCTTTCACATACGAGCGCAAACAGGAAGTGGTAAACACATGAATATTTGGTTGGGTGCCTGCAGAGACGAGCCGGCGACTGTCTTTATCAGCCGAGCAGCCGGTCTCATTCAGGCGGGTTCAGCCTGTCCTCCTCTGCGGAGCCGCGTTAGCATGCTGGCTATCCTGGAGGCTGTTTGTGCGGCTTCTGTTTGTGCCGTTTTGGACCCGTGGGTGATTGGTGCCGCTGCTGCATGAGGCAGATTAGAGAGCTGGGCTGGTCTGCGTTCCTGAGCCTCTCACAAAGGCAGGTATCTACATAATCAGGTGCATAGCAGTAGAGGTTTGTATCGCTGTTACTGTGGCGACATTCTGGGCTTTTTTTAAATCCCAAAGCCCAGAACACAACAAAAACTATTTGGTTTGGTTTGAATGAAACATCTGCAATACTATTGGAAACGATTCAGAAAGGGCTGGACAATAAATCAATAACAACACGCAATGTGATAGATATGTGATCAATATCAATAAATAATACGTCTGATAGAAAATTTACTGAACTTCGATCCAGAAACGACAGATTTAAAGGCAGAGGAAAGACTTTAATCGGCTGGTGGAGCCAACTGACTCCATCGCTGTGTGGTTGCCTAGCAACCGCCTGCTGACTGACTGACGCAGCAGCAGTTTCAAGTTTTCCCACCGTTCCTCATAACTGCTTAAAAGTAAAAAAAAAAACGACAACATGAACAGGAAACTGGTTAAAACAGGAAATGTCACGGCAACAACTTGGCAGGATTTTAGATATTTAAAACAAACAAACCAAAAAACTAAATAATTATTGATATCGACTGATACGAAAAGCTTAAATTGCGATATGGTTGCAGTAGTAGGTCTGCCGGGCCAAGCGGTGGCGCTGTGGTGACACAGAAGCAACCGAAATGTGCCACGTTGGGTTTGTGAGCGTGAGACGCAGTGTGGGATAAAAAGAGATGGAGCTTCACTGTTATCGTTTAACAAACAAAAAAACGCATAAAGACATGAAAGCAGAAGGATCGCGGTTTTAAAATGATAACTTCTGGTCTCCAAAAACCCAGAATCCATGAAGAAGCTCAGCATAAATGGAAAAAAAAGAAATTTAGTGGATACAAAATTTATAAATTGTCATTTTTATTTATTTGATTTCATTTAAATGTTTGTTTTGTAATTTCTGTTTTAAATTTATTTATAAATGTAAGATTATTTAATTTTCAATTTAACATTTTTATTCATTTATTCATAGATTTTAGCATATAAATGTGTTTCTGCTGAAAAGTATTTACATGTAGCTTTCACCTTCCACTAAACTTTCCATTCATATGCCTTAAGACAACAACACAGTTATTTTGTTTTCCCATTATTTTGTATAACATTTCAGTTTTTAAAAATTCTTTAATATTATAAATTCCCGAATTACTTAAAGATGATCTGATTTATTGTGGAAAGAAAACAGAATGCTGCAGGAAATGAGCCCAACATTTGCTGAATGTTTGTGCATCACCTGCTCACATGTTTTGCACGGTCATGGCAGCCAGCGGCGGTCTGCTCGCAGTGCAGAGACGCGTCTCCGCATGCAGAAAGCCGATTGACTGTTGTGATAAATGGACGGGGTGTAAGTGCTCCACATGCTGCAGTGAGGGCTAATCAAGCTGAATGGATGGGGCTTTTGTTTTGGTTCAGTAGCAGAGTTAAACGAAGGGCGCCGCTCGCGCTCAGATTTACCTCCGTTTGGACGGGTCGGTCCTCCAGATCCAGCTCTGATGGCTTCGTATCGATTTCTCAGTGTGTGTGTTTTTGTTTGTGAAAGAGACATGGAGGCTGTGAGCGTCAGTCTGAGGGCTGCACGTCTTCTTTGCTTGCACCGCTTCCTGTCCAGTTGTAAACAAATGTGGAGCAGCCATGAAATCCGGGGTTTGTTTTGGCTTGAAACAATTATTTTAGCAATCGATTATTCTGGCAGTTAATCGCCTGATTGGACAAGAAAAACATTCCTTCAGGTATTCATCTGTAGCAACCAAAAAAAAACTTTTAACTGTGGCTGCAACTAACAATTATTTTGACAATTAGTCAATTATTATGATGATTAATTGATTAATCAGATAAGAAAATTGGGAAATTCTGCAGAGTTTTCATTCAGTCACTTAAGCCTATTTTGTTCTGAACTAAGAATATATAAAAATCCAAATAAAGAATCAATTTAATTATTTCTTAAAATAACAAGAAAATAAATATTTCACTTCCTAAAATGAAACAGCACAGCATTCCTTTAGTGAACATTTCATAATTTGCAGCAATGGATTCACCTTTATCTAAAATATTCTTGTAATATGTGAAAATCTCAGCCCTTTTTGCCTGACTTATCGTGAATACAAGGTGAGGCTGGAGGGTTTTTTAATCAGGTGAAGCTAAAAATGAAACTAGGAGTTCTGGCTAAAACATGTTTACACACAAAATTTCATCTTTAAATCAACATTTGTGGTTTAATTCCTGCTCTGAGTGTGTTCTTCTTTCAGCAAATGATCTTTTGCAGAGTCTCTTTACTCCCGTTAACGATTAATCGATTACTAAATTAGTTGACGATAACGTCAGTAATCGATTAATCGTGATTAGTCACGATTAGTCGTTTCTGCCTGACTCCTGGGCCTGTGTCTTTCCTCTTCCTCCCGCCTGCAGAACGACAGCGTGGCGGAGAGTAACGAGGCGGATCCTCCGGAGAGCCTGAACACGCTGCTGACCGACATCTCTCTGGTGAGCTCTGCTGGGAGAGCCAGAAAATAAGAGATAAGGCCGACAGGGGAGGGCGAAGGGAGATGGGAAGGTGTTTGAAACATGGCTGCAGGCTCTGAAAACCGGAGCGGAGTGGGAGCCATGTGAGATTTGGAAGAAGAAAAGTGGGAGTGAGTGACACCTGAAGCCTTCTTTTCTCCTGAGAGCGGCTCAGTGAGGTCTGAAAATCCTATTTCATGACTGAAAACAGCTGATTTCTTCTTCACCGCTCAGCTCACACGTCACCATTTTGTGTTATTATTTGATTATTTTTATCACATTTTGTGCATAAACTCGCCTGTTTCTGTGCCCATCCCACCTTTCAGTTTGTGTTTTTTCACTCACGTTTGGAAAATGCAGGAAATGAGCAGGATCTGCGCAGGCTGGATGCGTCATCAAGGCGACCGTATCCGACGCTGATGGAGCGGTGTAGTACAGCTGCGTGAACACAGAACAGTCGGGCTTTGGTTTATTATGTGTTCACCACTGGACAAATTCAGGTTTTATCGCTGAAAAACACAAAATGTTGCCAAGTATTTAATCCAGTTTCTGGATATCTCAGAGCTTTTGAAACAAGAGAAAACTGACGTACAAGTAACTTTTCTGCAACTTCTAGGTGCTTTTTTTGAGTAAATGATTCCATGATATTGATGAAATAATCTCTCGTCCCGCTGGCAGATCATTTCACTGATAACGTGTAAAAATGTCTTAATAATCTGCCTGTAGAAACGTTGCTTTTTCAACATTATTAAGGAATTATTTACTCAAAACAAAGTCCTGTATCTATCAGAAACGCTCCTGGTAAATCAGTTTTCTCTTGTTTCAAATGCTCCGAGATATTTGTACCAGAAACCAGACAAAAATACTTGGTAACATTTAGCAGTGAAGGGATTTAAGACGTAAAGAAAAGTTCTCCTGGCCAAGATCCAGTCAGAACGAGTGACTGAACATCTTTAAGGTTCTACAGGATTTATTATGTTTTTTAACTGATGTTTAATTTTTAGGCCTCAAAACATTTAATTACGACTCAACTACAAAAAAAAAAAACACGTTGAGCACAAAGATCCTCACATTATTCACAGTGAAACAGTTTTAATTATGAGTCATAATTGATGGGCTCTGCATCGTTACCCAGCAGCCAAAGCTCCAGCATGTTTGGTCAGCTGATTTTACTGCTGTATCTGCCTTACAATGGCTGCTGGAAACAACAAGTGTTTTGATTTACAATCCAGAAACCGTTCAGTTGGTTGTGCAGGAGGCTCCACTTACGCTACTCAAAGATGGACAACTGCATAATTACGCATCAGCTTGCAGCCATTTTCAAAACGTTGAGTTGGGGGGTGTGGCTAATAGCAGATTATTTGGATTTAAAGTGAAATGACGCTTTAAAAAGCTAAAATCTCATTATCTAAGAATTATTTTGAAATTTAATGAACATGTTTTGTGTAGGCCGTAGATCTATCCCAACTTGTTAAAGGAAGCATAGTGGGTCAAAGTCTCCAAACTAAAACTATTTGTGGCAGTAGAATGACTTTCTGTTGCGTTTTGACTGATGCTTCAGCCCAGATTTCAACCAGCTTCAGCCAGGAACTCAACACGATTGTTTGGTTTTGCTCCCGTGCTTTGAATAGGCCATTCGTCTGTTCTGACCTTTATCAGGTCAGCTTTAATGACCCGGACCTGAGGCGGCGCGCCCGGCGCCGTGTCCATGTGTTTCTGCGTTTTCTCTGTTGGCGACGGTGATGGTGAATGTATCGTCTCGCTTCAGGATGACGTTCAGTCCGCCTCAGCAGAGTCGCCCCCCTCCTTCAAGCCTCCGCCCCCTCCGGGGTCTCAGAGGCGCCCGGGGAGGCGGGACGCTCTCATCAAGTGCCCGTCCTCCGAATCCTCCCAGTCCGGGTTGTACTTCACGGCCCCGAGCTCTTCTTCTGCGCCGAGAAGCGACGCCTCCCGGGACTACGCCGCCATCAAGAAGAAAATGCCCAAGAAGGAGAAAATAACGTCAGCCCAGCTGGCCTCCGTCTCCCAGCACAACATCGGCCCGTTCCCCAGGGTCCAGTCGCCCAACAGAGCCCCCAAACCGGCCACCCCGTCCCCCTCGCCCCCGCCGCCGCCGCCACTTCCTGCCCCGCCTCCTCCTCCCTTGCTTCCCTCTAAGCCGGTGTCCCAGTCCAAGGCCTCCCTCGGTCTGCCTGCCGCCTCCAAGCAGCAGTTTGTGACGGTGGAGGTCCACAGGCCCAACGCGGAGCCGGACGTCAACGAGGTGCGGCCGCTGCCCCAGGCTAGAGGTAAAAGAACCGGGGCAGAAAGTACCCTGAACTGGTTTCATGTTTTTAAAGCTGCAGTGTGTAACGTTTATAAAAATATTATTTGTTGAATCTGTCGTTATGAGACAACCGATCTGATTGGCTAACATAGTTACTGGCTTTGTGCTGCACTGCCCCCTTTGGGTTTGGCATGGTTAAAACAACAATGGGGGCGAGTTCATGTGGATCCAAAGCATCAATGGGTGCCACCGCTAGCTAAAAGACTAGTTGCATGTTGATTTATTGTGCTAAATCAACATGATATTTAGCAGAAGCTATTAATAAGGGCTATACCAAAATATATTTAGCATAAACTAATACTAAAATTGAATATTAATGATATTTAGCAGAAGCTAAAGCAAAAGTGCTAAATTCAACCTTGTTGAAATTCACCATGTGTCCGTGAAATAAGAATGCTAACAACGTTAGCTTGTTATTGCATAAGAGATGGACATTCCACTCATGGCGGTAGCTTCATAGTTGTTGAGTTTTGCTAACTGTTGATTAGCCTAGTTGACACATTAGGTCTTCGGTCAGAAAACATAAAGTTTACATTCAGAAAGATTTACCTGAAAGAAGCTAAGTGTGCTAAACGTTTTCAAAGCTAGCAAAAATGCTAAAGCACTAAAGTGAAACATTACAATAACTGGTTTATTTTGAGTTTAATCTATTTTTTAATGAGTCCTTAGAGAAAAATCTAATATAAAATTTAATGCTAAAGGCTATCTTATAGTCAATATGTGGATTTATGTTTAGCAGTAGAAATAATTGTTTACGCTTTAAATTAAAACAAATCAGTTTTATTTCCAGTTTAATAAGATCTGAGAAACAAAATACCTTCATATAAATCTCTCATTAATTCAGTAAATTACTAATTGATTTAATGAAAGAGCGATTTTCTGTGACCTTTAACCTGGAGTCGTCCTGCTTCCTCAGGCGGCGCCTTGTCTCAGCTGTCCGACAGCGGACAGACCCTCAGCGAGGACAGCGGCGTGGACATCGCCGAGTCGGGACACGTCAGTAAAGACGGTAGCCCCCGATGCTCAGCCGCACGCCCCGCCCACCACTCCCAGGACGGCGGAGGGGAAAACCCGTCCAAACCGGTGAGATGGCGCTTCAGAACCGGCTGCAGATTAACGACACGGAGAATCAACTACCGCTGACGAATGTTTACATGGCTGGTTTTGACTTTCTGAGACTCGGCTTAGAAAGACTAATTAAGGAAAATATAGATTTGTTTGAGAAAATAAAAACCGAAAGACTTTTCTATCTGATATGAATATTGCTATGAAGCCTGATAACCAATATTTAAAAATATTATTTTTATTCAACTGCTGTTTCAATAACTTTGGAAAAGACAATCAGTCAGAAACAGCTAAAAATAAATATTGGTTGTTCATATTGGCCCAGTTTTATGTATCGGACCGAAATCGATATGTTAAACTATAACTAATATCAGCCAATACCGATGTTGATGCCGATAAATTGTGCATCCCTAGTTATTTTGTCTAAATTAAACAATCAAATTTAATTTTTCTGTGGAATAAATAAAGTATTTTTTAATTGAATACAATTTTTTTCGTCCGATATCAGCTTCTGATTACAATTAATTAATTTTTTTTTCTTTTTTTGGAATATAATTTTCAATTATTTGTGAAAATTCACCGATTTGAATTTCTCAAACTTTCTGAAGTAAATACGGCTTAAGAAACTGAAACCATTAGCCGTAATACTAGCTGACATGCTATTAGCTTGTGTTAGCGAAGCAGCCAATCCTGGAGCCCCAGTGATTTTCCTTGCAGGTGATTGGCTGTCTACCCACGTGCGTGCGGTTTAAATCGGGCCCGGCTGGTAGAAGCTCGATAAATCAAAGTGTCTGATGCTTAATCCTCCTCCTGATCCTGAATTTAACCCTAATTGCAATCTCTTCTCTCCTCCCTCTTGTTTGTTCACACATTGTCTCACTTATTTCTTCATTTATCACTCATTCATTCATTCATTCAGCCATGATCCATCATTTATCCGTTCACTTGCTGCGCTGTAATGTTACCAAACTGAAATCGCTCTCTGCTCCTGCTTGATTGATGTCAGGAATAACAAGTAAGGATGGGAGTGTTTTATTTATTCCAAACTGGATTATTTCTCAGGGAAATTAAGGATTAAATGGACTGTGTGTAATAAAAAGCTTTTATTTTAAAGATCATCACATTTACCTTTCTCTTCATTAAGAGAAGGAAACAAGGGAGACTGGAAATATTTTGGTCAGGTTTTACACAAAAAAAACTCCTGCTGTGGTCACAAGGTAAAAACCTGAAACATGTTTGTGGGGTTTTCTCTTCGTCTCATAAGAAACAAAATAGATAATGTGATGATTTGTATTTATTTATACATTATCAACGAATAAACAAGAGCTTGAGGATATGAAAAATGCAAACTCGGACCTCGGGGACACATTTAAATGTGACACACGCCCACAGTAATGTCATTTTAAAGCTCACAGCAGCAGTTTACACTGCTGTCTAAACATTAGCTATGCTAACCCTGAAGAACGGATCATAAACATTAGGCCTGGTAAAGCGCTATACCAACATGGTATTTAGTGGAAGCTAATGCTAAAGCACTATACCAACATGGTATTTAATGGAAGCTAATGCTAAAGCACTATACCAACATGGTATTTAATGGAAGCTAATGCTAAAGCACTATACCAACATGGTATTTAATGGAAGCTAATGCTAAAGCACTATACCAACATGGTATTTAATGGAAGCTAATGCTAAAGCACTATACCAACATGGTATTTAATGGAAGCCAATGCTAAAGCACTATACCAACATGGTATTTAATGGAAGCTAATGCTAAAGCACTATACCAACATGGTATTTAATGGAAGCTAATGCTAAAGCACTATACCAACATGGTATTAGTGGAAGCTAATGCTAAAGCACTATACCAACATGGTATTTAATGGAAGCTAATGCTAAAGCACTATACCAACATGGTATTTAATGGAAGCTAATGCTAAAGCACTATACCAACATGGTATTTAATGGAAGCTAATGCTAAAGCGCTATACCAACATGGTATTTAGTGGAAGCTAATGCTAAAGCACTATACCAACATGGTATTTAATGGAAGCTAATGCTAAAGCACTATACCAACATGGTAATTAAGAAATGCTAATGCTAAAGCGCTATACCAACATGGTATTTAGTGGAAGCTAATGCTAAAACACTATACCAACATGGTGATTAACAAATGCTAATGCTAAAGCGCTATACCAACATGGTATTTAGTGGAAGCTAATGCTAAAGCACTATACCAACATGGTTATTAAGAAATGCTAATGCTAAAGCGCTATACCAACATGGTATTTAATGGAAGCTAATGCTAAAGCGCTATACCAACATGGTATTTAGTGGAAGCTAATGCTAAAGCACTATACCAACATGGTATTTAATGGAAGCTAATGCTAAAGCACTATACCAACATGGTATTTAGTGGAAGCTAATGCTAAAGCACTATACCAACATGGTAATTAACAAATGCTAATGCTAAAGCGCTATACCAACATCGTATTTAGTGGAAGCTAATGCTAAAGCACTATACCAACATGGTTATTAAGAAATGCTAATGCTAAAGCGCTATACCAACATGGTATTTAATGGAAGCTAATGCTAAAGCGCTATACCAACATGGTATTTAGTGGAAGCTAATGCTAAAGCACTATACCAACATGGTATTTAATGGAAGCTAATGCTAAAGCACTATACCAACATGGTATTTAGTGGAAGCTAATGCTAAAGCACTATACCAACATGGTAATTAATAAATGCTAATGCTAAAGCGCTATACCAACATGGTATTTAATGGAAGCTAATGCTAAAGCGCTATACCAACATGGTATTTAGTGGAAGCTAATGCTAAAGCACTATACCAACATGGTTATTAAGAAATGCTAATGCTAAAGCGCTATACCAACATGGTATTTAGTGGAAGCTAATGCTAAAGCGCTATACCAACATGGTATTTAGTGGAAGCTAATGCTAAAGCGCTATACCAACATGGTATTCAGTGGAAGCTAATGCTAAAGTGACACACTAACACGGTTTTTAGCAAAAGCTAAAAGCTCCTTAAACTCTTATTACCAATTCAAATTACGTTTGCTCTTAAAGTCTAGAACCGTCGAGAACCCATTTAGTTTTCACATTTCAGTCTAAATGTTCTATAAAATCGTTAAATATTTTTGCGTACAGCTTTTTCTCTACTATATACATTTTATATTGTTGTCGTGGTAACTGGGCATTCATAAACATTGGAAACAGAAATGCAAATGTTCTTGGTGTTGGTTCTGACTGGACCAGAACATTAAACCCCCTAACATGCTTTAGATTGTTCACTGAAGAAATAAACATTTAAATGAGTCAGAAAAAATGAGATGACATGAAATTCCTCATAATGATCTGACCTTTGACATGTTGAATGTATTCATGAATATATTTGTAACACTGAGTTAGTTAAGAAATAAAAGGTCTTGGCCTCTTAGAAAAACTCCTCTTGCTCAAAGAACAAACTGCAAATGCAAAGAAGAAACGTTGTTTTACCAAATGATGCTCTTACATATTTAATGAAATCCTCTCCTCTCCGTTTGCTGCCCCAGCCGGGGCTTTTGGAGCCCACCTCCACGCTAGTGAGGGTCCCAAAGAGCGCCAGCACCCTTGGTATCGCCATCGAGGGCGGAGCCAACACTCGCCAGCCGCTGCCGCGCATCGTCACCATCCAGGTGAGTTCAGAAGAACAACAGGAAAATCCATGACAGATTCAACATCGTTAAAGTCACAGAACCTCTTAAAGCTCTTAAAGGGCCGGTTACTCCAGAATGGACCGATAAAACCTGATCACAAACTGATAAAATATCAATGAATTCTTAAAATTTAATAATATTATTGAACATTTTTTCAGTCCCTCCAGAATTTTTGGGAATAAAAATCAAAGTGTTTTGGTACTAATTTGGAAATATTTGCGCTTATTTATGACAGTAGAGGTGAAGTTATTTGTTAATAACTGCTGGTATTTGTTAATTTTTGCTTTATTTTCCAAAATAATTCCCAAGAAAGTGGAGGGACTGAATGATATAATTTGGCTGTAAACAGATAAAACCTCCATTAATTTGACTATTAACATAATATTTAAGCAATATATGAATTTTGGTGCGGTTTGAATGCATATGTGAACACCAAGCGCTCCAAAAGCAGGAAGTGAACTACAGTGCAGGGCATTCTGGGTAAATATAACCAAAACAGATTTGCTAGCCTGCACTAGCGAGGGAAACGACTCGTGGTCTTTTACCAAAGACAAAAGAGAAATCCCACAACCTAAAATCTGACGCTGCTCCAATTTTGTTATTATTTCGAGTTCAGCGTCAGTGTCTTCTTCAGAGGTTTTCATGTTGTTTCTTGGTACAGCGCCCCCACAGGCGAGGAGGGGAACAGCTTTTTCAATTATTTTGGATTGCTTGAATCAGTGACTTAATTTTTATTCATAAAAGTCGAAAAAAGTTTAATTTGATTTGGTGAAACCAGCAGAAATACAAGAGTTAGAAATAAACTCAAAATAATACGAGATTATTCATAGTGACATGAGATTAAACTCAGTGTTTTGAGAATAAAGTTGTAATATTAAAGCTGCAAGCAGCCTCGAGCGGCCCTCGCAGCCAAGCGCCGCTCCGGCCTTTTGCCACCGCAGGGTACTAGCAACCGCCGCCCGACGCCAGCCACCACAGATACTCTCAGCAGTTTTCAGCACCTCCGCCCGCACCGCGGAAACTGTTGCTCCGTTTCCATCAACGCTCCCCACGTTCTAACACAGAAGTCGTTGCGCGGTTTCCGCGCCCGTCCACCAGGCGGTACGCATCGATGCGTTCGGCGGCACTTCCTGACGACGCACAAAAAATGTGGTGCAGATTCGTTGATATAGCGAGGAGATTTAGCTGGTGT